CATCCATCCATCCATCCATCCACCCACCCACCCACCCATCCATCCAATGTTGTCATTTCTTGACAACCCAGAATGAGTAAAACCCTAAGGCCCGACCCCATTTTGTGGGTTTGCTCGTTGACTAGTTAGTCAATATTCTTGTTCCCAGTATTGATTGGTTTAACACGAGATGATGACTCCAGTGCTAGGTGGAAGAGCTTTTGATGAGAAAAGCTGCAATTTTTTGTGTTGTCCCTTAAGAAGATTTTTTTTTTTGGGGGGGGGGGGGGGGAAGGAAGCCTGAGCCATCTAAGCAAATCCTGAAACTGAAATTGGCAACTTTTCCCCTCTCCCATTCTAAAGGGTTGAGTTGGGGCTGTGGAGAAAAATGGAGGAAGGATGTTATATAAACAGACTTGACTTTCTAGAGAAAAAGGAGGAGAGAGATCTAGTAAACAAGTAAACAAACCTTATCTATCAATACACCAAAGAATTCCGGCCAGGTTATTTCTTACCAAATCCCTTTCTTCGTTCAGCCCTTCGGCTCCAACTTCTGGTTCGAGGCTTATAGAGTCACTGCATTCGGTCACATCCTTCTTAGCCGTTTCTTCACTGGACCATAGCTCATTTGAAGGACCTTCCATATTTAACGCCTGTTGCTCTTCTAAGTCCTTGTTGGCGCTTTCAGAAGCTTCCTTTTTACCAATTTGCGGCGATACCTCGGTTGTCTTTTCATCCTGCACCGCTGTGTTGGATGTTGAGATGTTCTGCTCAGATGGCAATATCCCTTCATTTTTCTCTGGGGTTAATGTCTCACCTGTGCTATCTGACATTTTTTGGGTCCTACAAGAGGAGAAAAGTAGAGATATGTTTCTAATCGGTTGGGGTAGGCTTCCAAAGCAAAGAAAACTAGAAGATTTCCACATTGCTCTGTAACATTCTAAAGAGAGAGAACTTCAGCAGTCATTCTGGCTCACAGTAGTAATTCTTCTCACTTCTCAGTGTTGGCACTGGTAGCCAACACTACCCAACTGGTAGCACTTCATCTTCTCCCCAAGGTGAGGTTGGCCAACTGTCTTCTTGGAGAAAATTGCTAAGTTGCTTGATGTTAATGGAATAAAAGATACTTTAGGGCAAGATTATCCTTGCCTTAAAATATCTTTTATTTTAAAATAATTCTATTTTTAAAATTTATACTAAACTACATACGCTGCTAACAAGAGACAAGAAACCTAAGCTACGTAGTATAACTTCTACAAAGAAGTCATCTTGATTTAATATGTAATTAAATGTTGTTATGTAAGGAGGGAGCCATCTTGACTTTGAGGGAAAGCTCTTCCAGAATGAGGAGGTATCTAGACCCACTTCTAGACATGACCAAGGAAGCAAAGAGCCACACAGACTCCAGAGAGGTATTTTTAATGCTGAAATCAGAACTTTGAAAACGACAGTAGATAGAACTTACTTGTTCGCATGGTATTCAGCTTTGTTCGGGTATTTTCCCATGTCACAGATGAACACAATACAGAAGCCTGATGATGGCAGATGAGATTCTGCCAAAACGTTGCTACAACTTTAAAAGCACAACTACAATGACGTGGGAAAATATCCGAACAAAGCTGAATGCCATACATGTAAGTACTCACGAAAACTTAAGAAAACAACTTTCTTGTTTGCTTATAGATGTTTTATTTCCAACTCTGCCTTTGATACTCTCTACTACGTCTGCCTACTCAGAAGTTGAACTAGAGTTACAGAGAGGATTTTTAACCACCTCTGGGAAATAATAATTAAAATAATAATAAAACGTGCCCTTCTCTTGGCTCAGTTGCACATCGCTATCTAATGTACAGTGTAAGTTTCACTCCTAGGATTTTGCACACTTACTTTCCTACACATGCATTCACATCCAACGCATTGGGCCAACCGGTTCTTGACATGACAGACTAGTTGGGGCAAAGAGCTTGTTGCTAAATGGTCAGGCAGTGCTGCCCTCCCCCAAAAGCAAATTGCCCCCCAACTCTTTGAGTGCTTGGCCTTCTGCCCCCTCCCCAAACAGCACTCCTAAGGTTAGAGATCTCTGCCTCCCTCCTGCTTCTCAATGGGACCAACTTCCCTGGGAACATTTAAAGCCAAAGAGGAGGGAAAGAAATGAAGAAGTGAAGAATCCTTCATTGTTTAAAAAAAGGGAAGACGGGAGAAGAGGAAAGGGAAAAAAGGGGAAAAGAGGAAAGGAAAGAAAGATGAAAGAAAGAAACAGAAAGGAGTAGAAAGGGGAAAAAAAGGAAAGGAAAAGAGAAAGAAGGAAAGGAAAGAAATGGTAACAAATGATAGCAAATGATAGCAAAAGGAAAGGAAAGGAAAGGAGGAAGGAGGAAAGGAAAGAAATGGTAACAAATAAAAAGGGAAGGGAAGGAACGGAAAAATAACAGAAGGAAAGGAAAGGAAGGGAAGGGAAGGAAAGAAAGGAAAGGGAAGGGAAGGAAAGGAAAGGAAGGGAAGGGAAGAAAGGAAAGGAAAGGAAAGGAAGGGAAGGAAAGGAGGAAGAAGGGAAGGAAAGAAATGGTAACAAATAAGAAGGAAAGGGAAGGAAAGGAAAGGAAAAAGCGGGAGGAAGCTGCAGGCAGTCATTTCGCCCTCTTACCACCGCCGAGCTGCTGCCTGCCGGCGCGCCCTGAACTCCCCTCCCGGCCACGTCGGCAGAAGCGAGGAGCGAGCGGGGCTCGGGGCGGGCCGAGCGAAGGGCCGAGCTTTGGCTGTGGGGGGGCGGGCGGTTGGCAGGGAGGAGATGCTTTGGATCCCGGGAAAAAAACAAACTACGAAGAAGAAAATCTCCCGCAGCAGATAGACAGGCGCAGCAGCTTTTCTTTCCTTTTTTTTTTTTCAATTCCACATTCGTTTCATTCATTAAAAGCGTGCAAACCATTTTCACCTGAATTTTCTTGTAGAGTTTTGAAACATTACATTTATAAATGGGTATTTCTGTTTAAGGCATAACACTCAGAAGAAGATAAACACCCCAGGGTACATGAAATAATATGCGTGTAGTTATAAACATGCTTTTAAGGGATTTAAGACTCGGCTACTTTCCCAATGGGAGGAAAAAAGCTAAGCAGGGCTGGACTCGGCTCGTGCCTGGATGGGGGCCCCCAGCAGCAAAATGCAGAGAGCGGTAGGCTAGACTAGAAGGTAGAAAAGCCGCTCACAAAAAAGCAGCTCCGTATTGTGGCTGCCAAGAAATCCCTGTTGATAAAGGCATTGTGTTAATGTGCCAGGAGCAGAGCAGATTGGACCTCCGGTTTTGAGGCTCTCACTGCTTTTGCAAGTTTCACTTCCCCCACCCACCACTGTCTCTTCCCAGGGCCTCAGAATGAGTCCAGAATTTTGTTGATTGATGCCGGTTGATGTACAGTTGGCCCTCGACTTATAACAGTTCATTTAGTGACTGTTCAAAGTTAAAACAGCACCGGTAAATGTGAACCATTTTTCATACCTAGTTTTATGACTTTTGCGGCATCCCCATGATCATGCAATCAAAATTTGGATGCTGGGCCAATGATTCATATTTATGACCCTTGCTGTGTCCCGGGGTCATGGGATCGATCTCCCTTTTGCGACCTTGTGATTAGCAAAGTCAAGGGGGAAGTCAGATCTCACTGAACAAGTCACTTATCAAATGCCATGTTTCACTTAACAACGGTGGCAAGAAAAAAAATCGTAGAATAGAGCAAAACTCACTTAGGAAATGTCTTGCTTAGCAACATAATTTTTGGGCTTCATTGCGCTTGTAAGTCGAGGACTACCTGTTTTCTTGCCCTTCTTAAAAGCCAGGTCCAGGTGTGGAGTTACTGAGTTATGACTACAGCGAAGCCTATGCACAAGAATCTTCTCAGACAAAGTTTGTACCAGGACAAAATAGATACAGGTAGTCCTTGACTTACAACCACAATTGAGCCCAACATTTCTGTTGTTAAGTGAGAATTTGTTAAGTGAATTGCACCCCATTTGACAATTGATTTTATTTTGTTTCATTAGGATCCACCATTAGGAATCATCCAACCACCCCCTTTCTTGCTAAGCAAATCACTCCAATTGTTAAATTAGTAACGTGGTTGTTAAATTAATCTGGCCCTCCCTTTGGCTTTGTCAGAAGGTCTCAAAAGCGGACCATGTGACCCCCACTCCCCACCCCGGGACACTGCAACTGTCATAAACATGAGTCAGTTGCCAAGCGTCTGAATTTGGATCACAAATTCACATTGGGGGAGGCTGCAGCAGTCCTAAGTATGAAAAGGGCCTTTGTAATGTGGAATGGATGCTGAACGACCACTTGCAAGTGAAAGAACAGCTATATTCTTTCATCCCTTTCACCCTCATCCTATCCTAACTGTACTCTCTTTCATCCCTTTCACCCTCATCCTATTCCCTGGTCCATCGACTCTCCTTTATCAGTCTGACTCTTCATCTTTGTCCACAGCTCTTCTCCCAAGTTTAGTTTAATTTAATTTAGTTTAGTTTAGTTTAGTTTAGTTTAGTTTAGTTTAGTTCATTGTCATTGCACCTCGTACAACGAAATCAAACACCATCTTCAGTGCACATCATGACCATGAAAATAGACACAAACACACATCCTTCACATTCTATACATGGAATTTAAAACCCCTGATATTGTTCTTAAGCGGCGAAAAAGAAAGGGAAAGGAAACGGAATTGGCTTTTCTTCCTCTCACATCGACAGTTTTAACTGACTTGGAACATTAAGAAGAAGAGATTCGAATAAGAAATTGATACTAATCCACTTTGACATTAATAGGCTATTTCTAGCTGAAAATAAAGTGTCAAAGGGATAAAGATTCTTGGATAATTTAAGAATTTTCTTAAGAAAAAAGAAAGAAAGCAGAGGAGGGAAAAGGAAACAAGAGGGTGGAATCTGGAAAATGGAGGAGACCACCTGGGACTTAAAAAAATTGATAGTGGAATTTTAACAAGGCTTGCAAAAGATACATTGTAGCTGAAACTTTGTTATAAGACAATAAAGCCCCTGGAAAGAGAAAGTGACAAAAGAAGCAAGAAACAGATTTGGATTATTGGATGATTCCTGGAATTTTGGATGGTGGATCCTAATGAAACAAAATAAAATCAATTGGGGGTTGTTTAAAAATTTTAAAAAATGGCATCACTCCTTGAAGAGTTAAAAATGAGACTTAAAGAACAAAAAGAAGAAGCACAAGAGGATCTTTTGGCTTCGTATTTCAATTTTTAGAAATGGAGATTTCTGGCAAAACAAGAAGGCCGGGATAAAGACGAAGCCATCTTTAATGACCAAGCAACTTTAAGCGGGGTAAAAAAGGGAAAGGGGCGAAAGGGAGTTAAAAACTTAAGCATTGAAGCAACAAACAAAAAAAAAAGAGTAATTTGAAAAGCAATCATAATATCAGGAAGAAGCAGAAGGGAGGATCACGGAAGGGAGAATCAGATAGAAAAAGGAATAAAAAGGGGAGGGAAAAGAAGAGAGGGAAGAGGGAAAGGAAAAGAAGCTATAAAGGACAGAAACAAGATATAAAGGTACAAGAAAAGCATACAAGAATTAAAGGTATAAACCTATTTAAAAGACACAGAGACCATGGTTAAAATTTAACTTAAGGAGAGGATTCTGCAAGGGTGCATGGGATAGCATTGTTATATTTGAAATAGAAAACGGTTAGAAAATATGTTTAGATGATTAAAGTGATAGGAAAAATTTGTATTGATGTGTAATGGAATATTTGTTTGTAAAGAGAATCAGTCTCTCAATGATTTAAAAAGAAAGTTAAAAAAACTGAAAAGAAACATGGAAGATTTTTATCAGTTGACAAGATGAATTTGAATAAGAATAATAATTTATTGACTACTGTTAATAACTATTGTTTTGCTTTTATTTAAAGACAGTAATAAGTAAAATATGAAATATAGATGATTAAAGTGAAAGATAACTGATATTACTAGGTAATGTTTGTTAAAAGAAATAGAAATGTAAAAGATTGTTATTAATATTAATGGCAGAGCTGTACTTGAATAGAATACTTATTCCATTTACTATTGTTACACACACACACACACACACACACACACACACACACACACAAAATATAGAAGCCTGATGATGGCAGATGAGATTCTGCCAAAACATCATCAGAACTTTAAAAGCACAACTATAATGACATGGGAAAATACCCGAACAAAGCTGAATACCATACATATAAATACCCTCAAAAACTTAAGAAAACAAATATATATATATACTAGATACTTCGAATCTTACGCGGGAGAAAACCCGAACAACCAAAGATCTACATATAAATACCCGCGAGAACCTCAGAAAACAAATAT